CACCTTCACCCTTGACTCAGGAGCTTCCCGCTCCTTCTTTCGCGACTGCACCGCACTCACGCCGCTCAGTCGGCCAGTCCCGGTCTCCCTGGCGGACCCCTCTGGGGGTCCAGTCATTGCCCACCACTCCACGGTTCTGTCGTGTCCGGCCGTCCTGTCTGGCTTTCTGTCAGGTGTTTACCTGCCCTCGTTCTCTACGAACTTGGTGAGTGGAGCTGACCTCCAGGATAGGGGGGTTCACCAGTTCACTCCTGCGAGTCAGCGAGTGACTCACTGTACGTGTGCTAGGACGGGCCGGCACTTGGCCACGTTCACCCGTGCACCTGGCTCGAGTCTGTACACACTGACCACTGCGTCCCCTCAGGTAGCTGCGTCTGCGTCTACGTCTGGTCAGCAGGCGGCCCCCTGCGAGTGTCGCGCTTTGTCGCACGACACTCTCCTGTGGCACCACCGCCTTGGTCACCCCTCCTTGCCTCGCCTGCGTAGCATGCACTCTCGCTCCCTGGTCTCTGGTCTCCCCAGGTCTCTACCTGCCCTCCCTCCCTCGCCTGCGCCGCCCTGCATTCCTTGCGTCGAGGGGCGGCAGCGCGCCGCTCCTCACTCCTCCTCGTTTCCTCCCACAGAGGCTCCACTGCAGACGCTCCACGTGGACGTGTGGGGCCCAGCCCGCGTCCAGGGACAGGGCCACGAGCGGTACTTCCTGCTGGTTGTCGACGACTACACGCGTTACACCACGGTCTTCCCCTTGCGGAGCAAGGCGGATGTCCCTGCTGTTTTGATCCCCTGGATCCGCGCAGTTCGTCTCCAGCTCCGCGAGCGGTTCCGGTCGGACTTTCCTGTCCTGCGTCTGCACTCTGACAGAGGTGGTGAGTTCTCCTCCAACCTCTTGGCAGCCTACTGTGCGGAGCACGGCATCACCCAGTCGTTCACGCTTCCGGCCTCTCCGCAGCAGAATGGGGTTGCTGAGCGCCGCATTGGCTTAGTCATGGAGGTCGCTCGTACCTCCCTGATCCATGCGGCTGCCCCCCATTTTCTGTGGCCGTTTGCGGTCCGGTACGCCGCGCATCAGCTCAACCTCTGGCCCCGTGTCTCCTTGCCGGAGACCTCGCCCACACTGATGTGGACGGGGAAGGTTGGCGATGCGTCGCGTTTCCGGGTCTGGGGTGCTCGTGCCTTTGTCCGCGATACCACCGCGGACAAGCTCTCCGCCCGCGCTGTCCCCTGTGTCTTCCTTGGCTTTGTCCCTGACGCGCCTGGTTGGCAGTTTTACCATCCCACCTCGCGCCGTGTCTTTGCGTCTCAGGACGTCACGTTCGACGAGTCGGTTCCCTTTTACCGTCTCTTCCCCTACCGCACTGCCTCGCTCCCCCCCCCGCCGCTCTTCCTCGCTCCAGGTGCTCCCCAGGTAGACCCCCTCCCCGCTCCCGGTCCTGCTCCTTCAGGTGTTTCTCAGGTAGACCCTCCTCCCTTGACTGCGCCGGTTGAGGTCACTGGTGACTCAGGTCCTACTGAGAGTGGTCCTGCTCGGGGTGCTACTTCTGGGGGTGCTGAGCCTAGGGGTGCGGAGCCTGGGGGTGCTGAGCCTGGGGGTACTGAGCCTGCGGGTGCGGAGCTTGAGGGTGTAGAGCCTGGTGGTGCTGAGCCTGAGTGTGAGGGGTCTGGGGGTGCTGAGCTTGGCGGTACTGACGCTGGAGGTTCTGGAGCTACTGAGGGTGCTGGCGCTGGAGGTTCGGGAGCTGCTGGAGGGCCTAGTACTGGTGACGCTGGAGCTGGAGGTTCTGGAGCTGCTGAGGGTGCTAGCGCTGGAGGTTCTGGAGCCGCTGGAGGTACTGGTGCTGAGGGTACTGACACCGGAGGTTCTGGAGCCGTTGGGGGTGCGGGCGCTGAGGGTTCTGAGTCTGCTGTTGCGCGGTCTCCTTGGAGTGGCCGCCTTCGTCCACGTGTGCCTCTCACCCCACAGCAGCTGCAGGACTGGTACGGTCGCCGTCAGCGTCGCGCTGCTGGAGCTCGGAGTCGTGCTGGTCCTTTGTCTACTGGAGGTGCTGGAGTTGCTGGTTCTGGAGGGGCTCGTGCTGGAGACACTGAGGCTGGAGACCCTGGGACTGGAGGTGCTGGCTCTGGGGGTGCTGCTGCTGGAGACACTGAGGTTGGAGACCCTGGAGCTGGAGGTGCTGGTTCTGGGGGTGCTACTGCTGGCGACCCTGAGGTTGGAGACCCTGGGACTGGAGGTGCTGGTTCTGGGGGTGCTGCTGCTGGAGACACAGAGGTTGGAGACCCTGGGACTCGAGGTGTCGGCTCTGGGCCTGGAGCTTCTGGAGCTGTTGGAGGTACTGGAGCTGCTGGAGGTACTGGAGCTGCTGGAGGCACTGGAGCTGCTGGAGCTGCTGGTACTGGTGCAGCTGCGCCGACACGACTGTTCTTCGCTCCGCCGTCTCCGTCGTCTCTGCCGCCGTCTGCCTCTGTTCTTCGTCAGGTTCTTACTCTTCCGTCGTCTACTGGTCTTCCGTTACAGTCTGGCTCACCGCTGCCTGCTCCTTCTCCTTACACTGAGCTGACTGGTAGTCCTGCTGAGCGTCGTGAGCCTGCGTCGCGTCCTGTTTCGCCTGTTCGTCCTGGTCGTACCGGTCGTCGTGTTCCTCGTTCGCGTCAGCCGGCTGTCCCCGGCGCACACCTCGTAGTCCGTTGTCCTTCCTCTGCTCCGCCGCCTGTTCCTCTGCCGTCTCCTCCTGCGTCCTCTCTGCCTGCCGTTCCGGACCCTGAGTCTGACCGGTTTCGTACTGAGCACCCTACTGTCACGCGTCTCCTAGCCACTATTGTCACTGACCCGTCGTTTGAGTCTACTGCTGCGTCTGCCTTGGTCGCTGAGCTTGTTGACTTTGCTGCTGCCTGTCGTCTAGACTACACCGCCAGTCTTGTTGCTGAGTCTGAGTCTGTTTGTCCTCCGTCCGTCGGGGGTGAGTGTGCTCTTAGCACGGACGTCCTTGAGGACAGACAGGAGGAGTTCCAGTGTCTTGCTGCTGCTTTACCTCATCTTGTGTCCTCGCTGCTTGCCTCTGAGGGAGACCCGGATGCACCAGACATCCCGACTCCGCGCTCTTACGCAGAGGCGATAGAGGGTCCCTACTCCTCTCAGTGGCAGGCAGCCATGGACGCAGAGATGGCTTCCTGGAAGTCCACAGGCACCTACGTTGACGAGGTTCCCCCACCTGGGGCGAACATCGTCAGTGGCATGTGGATTTTCAGGGTGAAGCGGCCGCCGGGTTCTCCGCCTGTCTTCAAGGCGCGTTACGTAGCTCGAGGCTTCAGTCAGCGAGAGGGAGTTGACTTCTTCCAGACCTTCTCCACCACCCCGAAGATGACCACTCTTCGGGTGCTGCTGCATGTTGCTGCTCACCGTGACTACGAGCTTCACTCTCTTGACTTCAGCACAGCTTTCTTGCAGGGCAGCCTGCACGAGGAGATCTGGCTGCGCCGCCCCCCGGGCTTCACTGGGTCGTTCCCTCCTGGCACCCAGTGGAGCCTCCGGCGGCCGGTCTACGGTCTCCGCCAGGCGCCACGTGAGTGGCACGACACACTGAGGACTACGCTTGCGGCTCTTGGGTTCGCGCCTTCTACTGCTGACCCGTCGCTGTTTCTGCGCACCGACACTTCACTGCCGCCGTTCTACATCCTCGTGTACGTCGACGACTTGGTTTTTGCCACTTCTGACACTGAGGCTCTCGCCCACGTGAAGTCGGAGCTGCAGAAGAGACACACGTGCACAGACTTGGGTGAGCTGCGCAGCTACCTTGGCTTGCAGATCACCCGGGACAGAGCACGCCGCACCATCACCCTGACTCAGTCACACATGGTGCAGCAGGTCTTTCAGCGCTTCGGCTTCACCTGGTCTTCAGCACAGGCCACTCCTCTGGCTACAGGTCACTCGCTCTCAGCTCCACCTTCGGACGAGTCCGTAGAGCCTAGTGGTCCTTACCCAGAGCTAGTCGGCTGCCTCATGTACCTGATGACTTGCACTCGACCTGACCTCGCGTACCCTCTTGGTCTTCTGGCTCGCTACGTAGCTCCTGGTCGGCACCGACCTGAGCACATGGCTGCTGCTAAGAGGGTACTGCGCTACTTGTGCAGCACATCAGGCATGGGGCTAGTGCTTGGAGGGACGAGCCCAGTTGTCCTCACTGGGCACTCAGACGCTTCTTGGGTTGACGACCTGGCTACTCAGCGGTCGTCGCAGGGTTACACCTTCAGCCTTGGCTCTGGTTCAGTTTCGTGGCGTTCTACACGCTCGTCTTCAGTTCTCAGCTCCAGTTGTGAGGCTGAGATCTACGCCACAGCCATGGCTGCACAGGAGTTACGCTGGCTCACCTACCTGCTGACTGACTTGGGAGAGCAGCCTCGTTCTCCTCCAGTGCTGTACGTCGACAACAAGGCCGCCATTGCCTTGTGTGAGGAGCACAGACTGGAGCACAGAACGAAGCACATTGCTCTGCGTTACTTCCTGGCTCGAGAGTTGCAGCAGCGAGGCCAGCTTCGTCTTCGTCACGTGGCCACTCGGGCCAACACTGCTGATATATTCACCAAGGCACTTCCGTCTGGTGATCATCAGCGCTTTTGTACCCTGTTGGGCCTTGTGCCTACGTTTCCACACTTGCTGTAGTCTCTGCTTGTACTGTGATCTATATATATACATGCATGCCTGCTCTTGCTAGGTAGTCATCACTGTACTGTTATTGTTGCATATATATCTCTGCATGTGGACTGGCCTTGTGGCCCTTTGCTTGTGCTCAGAATGTGTGGTGACGTTGAGATCCACCCTGAGCTTGCTTTGCTTCTCTTGACTGGTCGTTTGACCCCTTGTTCTCCCCCACTTTGCCTATGGGGGTGTGTCAAACATATATGCTACATATTGTCTAGGCTGTAGTGGGGTAGCCCATATGGGGTACAGCCCAATTAGGGTTTACTACTTGTACTCCTGCATGCTGCTAGTTCACTCATTCCTGCTGCTAGATTCTAACATGAAAAGGGGCCAAGGAAGGAATGAGGAACGTACCACAGGAAGCACATGAGGGCTCCGTGATTCGCCCTTGTTTGTTGCCCCTTGCTATTATCGCTGCCGCTTCAACTCCCATGCTGTTGTGAGACAGGGAAGATGCGAGAGGGAGATGCATCGATGATGTATACAGAAGAATAGTGAGACAGGGAAGATGCAAGAGGGAGATGCTGGTTAGGGGGGAACAAGGGGATGGGGGAGAAATCACAGATAGAAGAAAGCACAGCTGAGGGAGGAGTGGTGCCAGGAATATGGGAGCAACGTGAAGATATGGGAGGAGCGGGAGGGGCGCAGGAAAGTGAGTGGGAGGCAAGGAACAATTGGGGGGGGGAAGGAAATGTGGAGATAGACAGACAAGTGAGAGTGACGCGGAGGGGTGAATGGCATGCCGAGCATTGAAGGAGCGAGTCGAAGAGGATAAATGATGGAAGGACTTACCACATCAAAGTCTTCTCCCACGTCTCTGCTTTCTCGACTCTTCTCCCTCTTGTCTTATGAACATCTGAGACAGTGGCAGATCAACATCTCATAATGAGATGAATAATGGCAAGAGAGAAGATTGCGAGTACAGGAACTAAGCGAGGAAGAAATCAAACGGCGATGGAGGTGATGGAATAAAAGGGCAAGGGAGATCTTACCAGGTCTACTGCAGCAACCTCTTGTCCTGCTCTGCCTCCTCTCCTCCTCCTCTCCTTCCTCCTCTCCTCCTCTGCTTCCTTTCGTCCTCCTCTCCTTCCTCCTCTCCTCCTCTGCTTCCTCTCCTCCTCCTCTCCTTCCTCCTCTCCTCCTCTGCTTCCTCTCCTCCTCCTCTCCTTCCTCCCCTCCTCCTCTGCTTCCTCTCCTCCTCTCCTTTTCCTCCACGTGGATTGTTTCTGCTCCTCTGCTCCGCTACTTCGCTGCACTCCATGTTTCAAGCAAATACAATCCGAGAGCTACAACCTACAAGTCAAGTGACACAGCTCACAGATCACAGCCTACAACCTACAGCCTAACAGCCTACAGCCTGTACTATACAAAAGAGCTGCAGCCTACGGCCTAACAGCGTGCGTGATACACAACCAGCAGCCTACAGCCTACAGCCACAGCCAGCAGCGACAGCCTACAGCCTACAGCACTATACATCACAACAAGAGTTACAGCAGTTCAAGCTTATCTTAACAATTCACAAAGCTGACCTTTCTTTGTTCTTTCCATTCTGGTAATTTTCGTTGCTTGCTTGTTCGTTATACCTTCCAGCACGGATCAGGGTTAGGCGCTGCCCTGTAGTCAGAGTGGGGTTAGCGTACCTGTAGTTAGGCGCTGCCCTGTAGTCAGAGTGGGGTTAGCGTACCTGTAGTTAGGCGCTGCCCTGTAGTCAGAGTGGGGTTAGCGTACCTGTAGTTAGGCGCTGCCCTGTAGTCAGAGTGGGGTTAGCGTACCTGTAGTTAGGCGCTGCCCTGTAGTCAGAGTGGGGTTAGCGTACCTGTAGTTAGGCGCTGCCCTGTAGTCAGAGTGGGGTTAGCGTACCTGTAGTTAGGCGCTGCCCTGTAGTCAGAGTGGGGTTAGCGTACCTGTAGTTAGGCGCTGCCCTGTAGTCAGAGTGGGGTTAGCGTACCTGTAGTTAGGCGCTGCCCTGTAGTCAGAGTGGGGTTAGCGTACCTGTAGTTAGGCGCTGCCCTGTAGTCAGAGTGGGGTTAGCGTACCTGTAGTTAGGCGCTGCCCTGTAGTTAGGCGCTGCCCTGTAGTCAGAGTGGGGTTAGCGTACCTGTAGTTAGGCGCTGGATGAAGCTTCTCACCAGAGCAGCGAGTCCCGCCAGATGAAGCTGCTGGAAGGAGATGAGTAGGGAGAGGGGGGATGGGTAGAGAGAGGATGGGTGGAGGAAGCAGGCAGGGGAGGTGAAAGTGACAGGGAGAGCAAATGAAGTAGACAGCGGGAAAAGAGGAGTATTGAAGCAATAACGGATGAATGAATGAATGTGAAACGAGTGCTGATGCTGAATGCATGAATGCCAAACCAGAGGCTGGATGGGCCACAGCTGTGCCGAGTTTTGCTCTTCAATTGTTGGATCGCGGAGTGTTGGATCTCGGAGTGTTGCTCCTCAAGTGATGCTCTTGGGTGTTCCACTCCTTTTGTCCTGGAACCAGGGAATGGGCTGGTGACAGGGGGGAAAAAGGATACGGGATGCCCTAAATTGGTGCAGGAATGGAAGAAAGCAGTGACAGATAATCACAAGCAACGAATGAAGCAAAGGCAGTAAGAAATTGAAGTATTCAAAAGTGAAACCAAAATGGAGGGATGCAATGAAAACAAAGAGGCGATGGTAGCCCATGGCACTAGGTTGGCGAGCTAGCAGGCAAGTGGGACGAGACGCGGGCGTGAGTGCATTCTAACCCTCTAGGACTCTAGTGTGAGCTCAAGCCGCCCCAGTGCCATGTGCTACCATCGCCACGCGAACGTTTTCAATACCTTCATGCGAAGGCGGCTTTTCGGTTCGAAGCATGCTTGAAAAGAGAGGCTGGGCAATTGTGAACACGAATTACAAGGTAAAGCGGCGGTAAGGATGGCAAGGGTTGAGGAGGGAACTTAGCGGGATTCAGAAGCTGCCGTCGCCATGTTAATGTCAGCAGCAACACTCCCAGCAGCAGCACTCAAGGTCGCTGGGCGCGTGAGGGAATGCGTGGTCAGCAGGGCATGCAGGAGGCACGCACGCCGCTGTGACTGCCTGCCATGTGTCATCCCACCGCCCTCCCTCCCACAGCCCTGTGCGAGAGGGGGAAAGCTTGGGAGAGGGAAGGGAGCGAGTGGGGAAGACGAGAGAAGACAGAAGGGGGCAGGAATTGAAGAGGTTAGTCTAATATAAGCATGGGCGCGATTGACAAATTGTAAAGCGGCAGGACGAAAACAAAACGGAGGCATAATACTGTGAGAGTAAAAGCTGGAAGTTAAACAACAGGTAGTGAAAGGGTAGGCGATGGTAGCTCATGGCACTAGGTTGGCGAGCTAGCAGGCAAGTGGGACGAGACGCGGGCGTGAGTGTGAGTGCATTCTAACCCTCTAGGACTCTAGTGTGAGCTCAAGCCGCCCCAGTGCCATGTGCTACCATCGCCACACGTCGCCCATCCCTCATTCAAGTTTTAATCCCTCCCACGTAGAAGCAACGTTTTTGTTTCGAGCAAGATTCGATAAGCGAGCAGTCGCATGAGGAGCAGAGGGGAGTTGACATGACCAGCAGCAGCCCTCCCAGTCCGCAGCAGTCCAGCAGCTCGGCGGCAGCCCAGGCCGTGCGTCATCCCACCGCTCGCCTCTCCCGCTCGCCTCTCCCGCTCACCACGCTGCTCCCATTGCTCCTCCCTGCTGCTCCCTGCTGCTGCCGCCCGTAGATGCGCTGGTAGAGGGATGCAGGCAGGAAGAGAGGGGGAGGGGGAATCAGGTTAACGGAGCAGAGAGTTGAGGTGAGAAGACAAGTGACTAGCAGGAACGACAAGCATGCAGTGAATGGTGAGCGGAGCGGAACGACAAGTGAGTGGTAGGGAGGGGTGGGAGGGGAAGGCGCATGGAGTTGGTGGACCAGGGGCACCATAGAAGCGAGCTGAGGCAGCGAGGGGGGACTGGGGAAGAGAGGGACGCGCGCATGGCATGAATGCACTGCTATTCTAAGCCACACCCACTAGACTCTCTGTACTGGACTCTATATAAGCTCAGATGCCATGATGCGCCCTGACCCACCGCCGCCATGCGCCTCACAGGAACAGGTGTGTGACGGGAAACGCGGGAAGCTGTCGTGCAACGACAAGAGGGCGTGGGGGGAAGGGGGGAGTGCAAGGGCAGAGGAGGGAACTTAGCTGCTCGCTGCTCGTCGGTCGCTGCGTTCTACTCATCGCTCCGCGTCGTCGCTTTGCGTCGCGCCGGTTCAGTAGCTGCTCGTTGCTTGTCGCTCCGCGCTCGCCGCGTTCTGCTCGCATCGTCGCCATGCGTTCTGCCCGTCGCTCCGCGTCGTCGTTCCGCGGCGCGCCGGTTCAGTAGCTGCTCGTTGCTCGTCGCTCCGCGCTCGCCGCGTTCTGCTCGCAACGTCGCCATGCGTGCGCCATGCACTGCGTTTCCGCTCGTCGAATTCCCGCGCTCCGGTTACGCTCGTTGCGTTTCCGCTCTCCGATTCCGCTCCTCATCAGCCGTCAGCCGTCAACCGCAGTGTTGCTCGCCTTGACGCCGATCCGCTCCGTTTCGCTTTGTCTTCCTCGTCGTTTCCTCTCGCTTTCCCCCGCTCTCTGCTCCCCGCTTCCGCTCGCCGCTTTCTGTCCGCGCGACGGTCGTTTGTCGCTCGGCGATCAGCAGACGTTCGTCGCTCGGCGTTTAGCAATCGTATTCGTTCAGCTGTCCGTTGAACGATTGCCGTTCAACGTTCGTGTATCGTCGTTCGGTGTTCAGCAGTCGCCTTAATCGCTCGGCGTACGACACTCGCCGTTAGTCGCTTGCCGTTTAACGCTCGCCGATCGTTGCTCGGCGTTCAACAGTCAGCTTTCCTCGTCGATCGTCGCCATTCGTCGCTCGGCGTTCACAATCGTCGTTCGCCGCCGATCAGCAGTCGCAGTCCGACTGACGAGTCGTCACAGCAGAAAGCACCGTCGCTCGACATCGTCAGAAGAGGCTGTCGCTCGTCACCGTCGAGAAACACCATCTCAGTCACCACCGTCAGAACACACCATCGCTCGTCACCGTCAGAAGCGACCGCGCCGTTCGTCACCGTCGGGAAACACCGTCTTAGTCACCACCGTCAGAAGACGCCGTCTTGCTACTGGATGTCAGAAGTCATCGCGTTGTTGCGAGCAGCGTATAGGCAGCCGATGCCAAAATGAATGGTTTTTCGAAGAGATTTCAGCGAGCCGTCATGTGCCAAATCCCTTTCCTCACTACGACAGTCAGGCAGGGTCTAGAGTAATAGAGCGGAGTTGCCACGAAAAACTGGCGCAGAGATCAGGATCGATCCAAGATAGACGGTCATTGATAATGACGGAATTTAGTGGACGACGGCCATGTACTACGAGTCCCCTTACGAAACTGGAGCAGGCAGAGATCGGGGTGATTCTAAGGCGATAGTTACGATTAAGCTTACAAAAATCACTGGTTGGCGTTGAACGGACGTCCGCCATTGACTGTAGCTACTAATGAGCTAAGCCTTGACGAGACAGTCAATATGAAAATATATTAAGATTACGATCAAAAGCTACAGACTCCCCAATGATCGAATATTGACAGCCACAGTAAGCCTACTAAGAGGGAGTCTTAGTGAACGAATGGCGGAGCCTACTAAGAGGGAGTCTCGGTGAGCGAAGGGGTAGAGCCTCCAAACAGTCAGTGAACGAATTGCAGCGATAATGGTGAGGATATGGAAATCATGGAAGCTTGAGAGAGGAAAGCATGATTACGGTTGGGTTCAATGAAGCAATATCGGGGATTACGACTGATTTGAGAACGGTGCGATGCGATTCAAGAGAGCTGGTGGAGGCAATCGTGCAGATAAGAACCAGACAAGCACTCTTTTGGTGGTAAGTTGCCGCCGTAGCGTCAGGGTCGTTCAGTTTTGTAACGAGCTTTGACGACAATATTTGCCAGCAAATGCGAGGCAACACGAGCGAAGTCACAAAGCCGAAGCGCGGAACCCTCACAGTTTCGATTGTTTCGCGCGGGAAGTACATGCCTCTGCCAGGCGCCCATTCACATGGCCATGGATCCTTCATGGTACATGTGATCGACGGTTTGGATTCGGTGACTCATGATTGGATCGAACGGCTGAGGGCCACTCTCAGACGCTGAAGTTGACATCGAGAACAAGAGGGATGTGATGGATGCCTTCCAGCCAAATGTGTGATTCTGTACAGCCCCCAGAGTGCACTTCAGTCGGACCACATTCTTGTAGCGATAGTTCTGAT